CAGGGTTTCCAAGGAGTACCTGGTGGATTTGAACTGCAGACTTTTGGTTAGCAGCCAAATTCTTAACCACTACGCCACCAGGGTTTCCTCATGCACTGGAGCTGGTGTCAATTCCATTTAGTGCCCTGCCAGTTCCCTTCAACTGTGGCACTCACTTTTCCTCGTATCCTGTCTGCTTGGCATCTATGGTCTTTGCTTTGGACACCTGGTGCCCCTGTTTTGATAATGCCTTAAGCATGTGCTTACCTTGCTTACTGAGTAATCCATCCCTGGGTGGGGGAACCATATTGGAAAAGATTAAGAAAAAAGTAGCTGTTAAAGCATTTGTCGTTGAGTCAATCCTGACCTACGGCAACCCCACCACCTATCAAGAGTATAGCTCTGTTCCATAGCGTTTTCAATAGCTGATTTTTTGTGAGTAGATTGCTAGGCCTTTCTTCCGGGATGCTTCTAGCTGGCCTAGAACTGCCAACCTTTTGGTAAGCAGCCAAGTGCTTAATTGTTGGCACGACTCAGGGACTCCAAATAGCCAGTAATGTATTTATTACTCTAGGAGGCCTGGTAGTTAAAGATTATGAATTTTGCTACTGACCAGATCTCAGTTCAAGTCCCAGTTCTGTCTATATGACTCTGGGCAATTGCTAATCTTCTCTGATCTTTTGTTTATCATTTTGTGGAAATAATCTATAGGATTCAATGAAATCAAGCATGTCAAGGACTTAAACTGATGGATACCAATTCTGAAGCCAGACTGCTTAGGTCTGAATCCCAGCTTAGGTCTAGCTCTGTGACCTTGGGCAAGTTACTTAACCTCTCTATGCCTCAGTTTTCTCATCATTTCTCAGTAACTGACAATACGTCAAGGATTCTTAGAAGGACTAAATAAGTTCATGGGTAAAAGCACTTTCAACTGTACCTGGCACATATGTAAGAAGCACTGCGTATGTATTAGTTGTTTCTATTATTAGCCAGAGCCTCTACAGAATAAGATTTCAAAAAGTATTAACTATTATCATTACTTATGAAATACTATTATCACTACAGCTTGTTCAAGAGATTTCGTGGAAAAGACAATTTTTTTTTCCTCTTAAAATACGAAGACTTGAGAAATTATTTAAAAGGGTACCTTGGAAAAAGGTACAAGACAGAATGAATTTCTTAACTATAACTCTGAATATACATACGCATATACACGTAAAAACTCCATTTTTCTCCTATAGAATGCATTTTCCTATAATAACTACTCAGCTTTAAAATATTTAGCTTCCCCTTTAGAAAACTATCCAAAATCAATCCTCCTCCACCCTCAAAAAAAGTTCATTTAAGATGGAAATTTTAAGCAAAAAGCAGGAAAAGAAGTATATAGAGTGGAAAACATTATAAATAAGCAAGGATTTTTCCCTTCTCCTTTTCCTTTTAATTGTTTGCTTTGGCTTCAGCTGAAATAATTATCAATAATAGCCATAGGGGAAATGACGCTTGTAGCTGTCTATGGACGAATATGGACAGATATCTAAACACTGAGAGAAAACAAACAGCAACAATAACAAAAAAAAAACCAGCAAAATGCAAAATAGTTTGAAGATTTATGTTTGTATATATACAGAAAAAGTTAAGGTTAATAATAAATATTTTTTTAAATTTTTTTATTATTGTACTTTAGATGAAGGTTTACAGAACAAATAGTTTCTCATTAAACAGTCAGTACACCTATTGTTTTATGACATTGGTTAACAACCCCACGACATGTCAACGCTCCCCCTTCTCGACCTTGGAGGACCCTTTTTTTGGTGAAAATATACACAGCCAAAGTTACGCCATTTCAAAACTTTCTACATGTACAATTCAGTGACATTGATTACATTCTTCCAGTTGTGCTGCTATTCTCGCTATCCTTTTCCAAATTATTCCATCACCGTTATCTTCAACTCACTGCCCCCTAGGATTCCAATCAAACCTTCTGAGTTGCTGTTGTCAACTTTATTTCACATAGAGAATTCTTTTTTGTTTTTTTTTTTTGTACCTTAGATGAAGGTTTGCAGAACAGTTTCTCATTAAACAGTACACATATTGCCCTATGACAATGGTTAACAACCCCGCGACATGTCAAGACTGTCCCTTCTCAACCTTGGGTTCCCTTTCACCAGCTTTCCTGTCCCCTTCTGCCTTCTAGTCCTTGTCCCTGGACTGCTGGGTCTCATTAGTTCCGTTTTGTTTTATGAGGCTGTCC